GTGTGTAGACTCACGCAGAGGATCTACGAGGTTGGAGGATCTAACTGGTCCATATTATTCGTTTGCTATGGTATACAAGGACGAAATCTTGAGTGCGAACCCATCCTATGGTTTTCCATCCAAACGTAGAATTCTACACCAAATTGATCGTGAACCAGGTTCAAAGCATGCAGCGCTTCGACAGTGGTCACTGTCAAGTGAGCAAAGTGAGTATATTGATGAGTTCTTTGCTCAAAAACAAGCTGCTGGTTTGATGAGAGAGAGCAAGCACAATTTCAGCACGCCGACGTTTGTGTGTGAGAAATAAGTGCTAAATGGCGTATCATTCACGCCTGTTACAACTTGAAAGCGCAGACGAATCCCGGGCAAACGTCAATTCTGCTTAAAAATACCGTGTGACCGGCTGCACACAATTTAGCTTGCAGGATTTGGTCGATGGATATAACCAAATCGTGATGAGGGAGGAATACGTCCCTTTGACCGATGTTCATACACTGTCTTGCCTTTTATCGGAGTGGCTTGTGATGTCACAAGAACTTCTTAATGTCCTATCAATGTATAATCGACTGGTCTCCCATCTTTTTATACCGGTATCAAGCTTCGCACAAACAAATTATGACAAATCATCCGACGGACGAAGATGGCAAAGTTGCCAAAGCAATTTCCTTGAAGGACCACCGTGTGATGCTATAATGTATACGTTTGCATTCGTTGGAAGCACATCTTGTAACGTGAATTTTCGGTGCCAACGAAGCAACGGTCCACGATTGTTATGATGGTGAACACGGTGTTTGTGCAGACCCTGCTCGAGTCCAAGTAATCGTTTAGCTTCCAATGCCACGGAAACAAAATGATTTTAGGAGTTTCTTGGTTCGTTCAATTATCTGCCTCGCTTGTCGCATTACTACGCCGAAATGGTACGCCCGCTATTAAACTTGCTGAAGAAGGACGTATCATGGGATTGGTTATCCACTTGTGAAGAGGAATTCGCTTAAATCAAGAGCGGTTTGATGGTGCTTTTCCGGAGTATATAAAGCCGTATAGCATAGTGTGTGATGCCTCTGAGTTTGCAATCGATTGTGCACTATTGCAAATGAACTCAGGAAGACACGATCGTGACGTTTCAATCGTGACAGCAAAAGATAGCATGAAAGAACCACGGTTCACGACAAGGAGCTCTTGGCATTGAAGTTCGCCCTTATGAAGTTTTGTGTTCACCTCTTGGGCTCGACTCCGTTTGTCGTCTTCGCAGATCACACAATCTTACGATATGCAATTCAGTCTCTTCACTTGTTACAGCGATAGCCCGCTGATTGTCATTCTTTGCAGAATACAACTTCGCGGTCGCCTTCAAACCTGGAAAACTGAACATGCCGGTAGACGCACTGTCACGTTATGAGCCAGGTCATATTAGTTGTATCGAAACCGATTAATTTGATATAATAATTCAGCGTATGTTGGCGATGACAGGGGTAATCTTATCATCAAGGCACTCTCATCGAGTGATATGGAATTCCCTGACAAGCTTCTGGTCGTTTGAAATCATGGATGCATCGTTATGGATTGAAAGGATGGTCTGGCTCACTAAGAAGCTGCACATGACGACGAGCCACGAATTGGTATTCTCCACAACTATGATTTGAAGTTCAAGATCATGTACAAGGCGCATGATATGCCGGTGGCCGGTCCCTTTGGCCGTAAGAAGACCCACCTGTCTCTTCGTGCCCAAATTTGGTAGCCCCGCATGTACATGTGGGCTGCACGATACGTGAAGACATTCCTTGCCTATTAGCACATGCAAAGCAGACGACACATGTAAGTGCCATCCCTTTCAGTACTGACTGTTAGATGTCAGTCAGTCTCGAGCTTATCGTCGGTTTTCCTGACAATGATGATGGTCACAATGGAGTGATCTTAATCATCGACAAAACGGAAAGATGATCTGCATAGCTCCATGTAGAAATTCATCGGTGCCGAAGGATTGGCTAGATTCTTGACGAATCATATTATTTGCAAACACGGTTTGCCAGACGCCATCGTCTCTGATCGTGAAATACGATTCACGAGTGGCTTCTTCAAAAAAAATTGTTTTGAATTCCTGGCACTTGCTTGGATATGCCCTCAGCGGGCAAACTAAGGTGCTAACCGAGTGGTCAGTAATGTATTGAAAAGTTTCAAATTTCACAATATGGATTTCAATGTTACCATTATTAGAGTTTGGTATGAACAATTCGGTTCATTTATCCACTGGTTTTACACTATTTTTTATATATGACAACCGCTTTGTGCGATGGGTAGTGTTCTGCTGTAATTGTGGAAGGAGCACTGTTAATAGTCGCTTCTCGAATTGCTACAATCAGTGGTGCAAATGTGAAGCGCAAGAACAAGGACGCCCTTAACTCATTCATAATGAGTCGTATGAATGTGATCACGTGTGTGCGAGATGCAATGGCCCATAAACAAGCTTTAGAAAAAGAATACGCAAAAAGACAAGATCGTTAAAGCAAAATGTCTATTATTGTAGGGGATTACGTACTCCTTAGTACTAAGAATCTATCAGGCGAAGCGGTTTCAAGCTTGGAAAGTCCAAAGCTACTAACTCGCTCATTGGTCTGTTCCGAGTAGTGTCTTGTTCTATTAAGCTCGTTAAGAACACATCGAGCGTTCTATAAAGGCTTTCAGACCACATCATCGCGACGAGGTGTTTCCCAACTTAGATGTAACGCAGTGTCGAACAAATATGACTTCAGAGCCACAGCTTCGGCACGAGGTCAAAAGTTGAAATCCTTGGCGTCGTCGTCTTAGCATTAAATTTCAAAATATCGTGGATCATTGTGAGCTTCAGAACCAAACGAACGGTCGCAAGTCAAAATGTCGATGAAAAGTAGATGACTGCTGATCTGGATAACGTCGGTCACCAGATTAAAAGTTATACGAACGATATGGACGTGCGGAAGCCTGCTGATCGCGTTGATGGTCACTACTGGAAGCATATCTACTTGATCCATAGCGAGGTTGCTTGGCAGGAGGCCCCGCAGCATCAGCGGCAGCAGCCATAGTAGGTGAGGATTATGCTCCAATCACCGAATATGATTCTCGATTACATCCCCAGGCGAGTTTCCATGACGCCATGCAAGACCGCAAACTTACAAACGATTCGTTGGGTATCCTTCACGTGTTGTCGCGCTCTCGACACCCGATCGATTGCCTCGATCATCGGCCAGTTCACCAGCGAACAAAGTTTCTGCACCTTCGTCAATCACAATTCCAAATTAGACGAAGACAGAGGAGCAGCCACAGAAAAATTAAAGGAGAAGGCCTTTTCGGAGAGCTCCCACTCTTCTCAAGCGACTGTGAAATCGATACTACCACGTCGAGAACGTGGTGGTGGTGAGAAACGTCCGTGGTGGGAGGGAGCTTTTGGTGGAGTGGCCGAGTTACAAAGAAACGAGAATGCTTGGAAGCCCCGAAGCCGAATTCTCTCGCAACTGTCCCGAATCGTTCTCGCGTTCGGTACGGCTCCCAAGACACTCTGTGCTTTTGGAATCCGTCCCTTCTTCTCTCTTCCTCGTCGTGAAATTGGCTAAAGACTGCGCGTACTTCGCGAGTATCCTTGATAGCGGAGTGAATCCGATCTTGCGCTGTTTAACGAATTTACCGAAAGTGCATGTCGTGTTTCTTAAACAAGTCCGCAGTGGGTTTCGCATTTGCAAACGGTGAATATTCACGGATTAGACTGTATGAATTCATGCCTAGAATTGAGTGTCGATTGTATGGACAAAATCCAGATTGGATTGCTGGATGTACGTTACGTACATGAACCTTCGTGGCTCTACTCCCAGCACGTGTTATCGGTCCGATGGCGCGAAAACATGCGATTTGAGACATCGCTCGATCTTCCATTAAGATAAAGAGTATGTCAAACTCTATGGTGGCACCAGTGAAACTCGTGACGACGAGCAATCTAACGATGACGCAAATGCGGATGACTGAACTCGTCAATGGGTTCACTATACAATGATCATCTGCCCAAACCAGTCGTTTGATGCGAGCTTTGAGCTCAGCGTGCATAAGCACAGTTTTACGTGAATTTGAAGAATCAAACAAGTTTTGTGGTGGTGAAGGCACCTTCGTATCCTTGGATTGAGGTGCGGTTTTGCTCTGCGGTCGTCGTCGGCGTAAGACGCAAGTCGTCTTTGATGCGTTCCATCGTGTAGAATCATGAATAACAGAAACTTAAAGTCAATTAAAGCTCTTAACGAATATCCGTAAACACACTTTCGAGTGTGTGGGGGTAATGGGCCAGATCCACTACAATGAAGTGTGAACCACATACTTGTGTGTGGATTAAATGAGCTATAAACCCTGTATAGTTGTATATTTCTTAGTTCTTTTGTATCAGAATTTGATCGTACTCAACTGTTTAGAAAGGATAAAGGCTTACTGGCCATAATAAATGTCACTTCACCTTTCCTCTTCTTTCAAGTAAATCAACGACTCACAGGGAGAGAGCGACATGCGTTGAAGCGTGTCAACTCATATAGGTCTTCCTCGGTAAGTGTGTGTACACTGACGGGCAAATCTTCTATCACTGCTGACTTGATCAACGATTTCTAGTTGTCTGGTAATGTTTATGTTGTGAGACTGGCCCATAGATTATACAAACCATCAAGGTCAGGGATTTGCATACTTGCACAATATTGAGACTTAATGTGTTATCACGCATTCCTGAGATAGGTATGTTCTTGTCGCGTTACAAACCTATTGCGACACCAACGGCAGCAATACTGTTACGATGGCCAGAACATGAAGGGATTTTGTGATATTTGTTGATGCCCAAGAACAGCCATCAGAATAGTTGTCACTTGCCCTGTTTAGCTGTCAACCCTAGAAATTTAGAAAGTCAAAAATCCAGCTGCAATAAAAGCCAAAATTTTAAAAGTTCCTATGTAGCAAGTACGTATGCAGTAACAGCAATGATTATTAGTTATGTGGAGGAACTACACTTTGTTCTCCAGCACCAAGCTTTCCATTCTTATATTTGGCAGGCAATATAGCACGACTAGTCAAGATCTAGGTGCCCTTTGCAACGTCATACTTGGCGAGTGTTCCCTTAGCATACATTTCAAGACGGTCATCCGAATTTGGTTTGAACAGATCAGTTTTCCCTATGAATGATGTTTGTATTTTTGTCTCTGCGTCTTCAATACCAATAGCGTATTTCATTGCAATCGATATTTTTAAGTCTCAATCCGATAGTGGCATTGCAATTCCTTCCATGAGCCACTCATGCATTCTTTAGTTCTAAAATACAGTTGGAAGGCTCGATCACCAGATTCCACGATAAAATTAAATGGGTCGTGGGTATAAACGGTTTTATTATGTATTTGAAAAAAACACCACCTTGGACTCACGTCATAAATGGTCCTTGAATGTTGCGATTAACAGAGTTTAATAGTATAATACATCGTCCCCTACTACTACTTGGATTAAAATATCGACTTTATCAAGTGATCCTTTCGATAATCTCTCTAAGCATTTGGCTAGTAGCATGTGTCGCGCCGTCCATAGAAAAGTGAAGATATGGATAGGATGATAGCTTAGCAAACACTTTATCAACTTCAGCCATTCCCTAAGGTGATTCCGAATAAGATACTGAAAACCTTTCCACACGTATCAAGTGAATAGGAAGACAGTGTGGACCTTTTGCTGAATGCGTTGGGACTGTAGTCTCATAAAGAAGATTTTGTCTAATTTTTTTCATCAGTAGTAAACCACTTTTGACTTCGGAATAATCAAGGCTTTGACTCTTGAAAGTTCTGGTCAGCATCTAAGGAACATCTTCACATATTTAGGCTTTGCGCATCTACTCACGCAGATTCAACGAGTGTACAGCTCTCTCTTTGCAAGGTGCTACGTCAATTCGTTGCGCTTGACACCATGTGTTGCCTATCCTACGACTGAGTCTTGACAAGATTATACCTTGCAAAGGATTGCAACATGGAATGCTCATCACTAATCAGTCGTGAAAGGTTGGCACGGGTCCGGAATGGTTTTATCTCACCTATATGCTTTCATCAGCTTCGATATGTGTCGATAAAATACCATCTGGCAGTATTGATTGAAGTCAGTAACAGACATCACCAAAACAAAGATCTACAGAGTGACACCACTTCCGCCTTGCGGTATGATCTTGGATTAACGATGGAGAAGATCTGGAAGCAAAAGATTGAGACGACCATTAAAAGCTGTCTGTTGCTCTATTTTTTCGCTTTGAATAGAGCAACAGCATATTGAGCTAGCGATAGTCATGGCATATTATTGCCCGCAAGAGTGGATAAATCGTGCAGGTTCTCAATAAACGAAGCGTTTAAATATGGAAAATACGCAAACAGCATATCGCGTATCCTTTGCATCGTTTAATCAGGTTTACCGTGTGCGGTCTACCTTAACATCTAGCCATGGATTGAGGGATTGTTGCAACGTATTACAGTTATAAACCCTTTAGACCGGGACATCAGCTGATGCGTTTTGGAATTGAGAACAGTACCGACGTTGTGGACGGTCTCGGTCCCAAGATCTTCCATGTCTAATTATCCATCTTGATATATGTAATGATGATTGCAATAAATATTTCAATCCGCGGGGGTTGGTCGGGTATAGAAGTGGGGTGTTGTGAACGCACCTGAAGAGATGGTTGGCAGCCAACCTGAGCGATTGTCGTCCACTGAGCAGTATCGTGGTATCCTCAAGTTCGACACCAACGGTGTACTCCTATGTGTGCATTTGCCGCTCGATTCTAAATAAAATATGCTCTGCCCCCGCTTGATTTCCCGCGCAGAAAAGTCGAGACTTAACAGGAGCAGGGCCGTCTATTAGGATAGAAGTAGGTACCTTTGTATCCGTCGGAGATCGAGGTCAATAGGGCCCAGCCCTGGAGAGACCGACACTTTCTCATCTGACCTCTAAGTGTTTTTCTTATTGTCGTGGCTGAGACCAATATTTTTAGCCATGATTTATCTAGCTACATTGCTTGTGAACTGCATCCGTTAGTCGTGTATGTCTATCGACTCATACACAAAGGATTTCCGGAAGTTTTTAATTCGGAACTGGTATTGGTAAGTGCACAAAACTCACCAAACTGCTTTAGTATTTGAATTTCACTTCGCCTTATTGTAAGCAAAATATTCATGTACTACCTGTAATCAAACTGCCTTGCAAAATAAACAAATCTCGAAATGATTTTAGCACACTGAATAATTTGTGTCCTTAGATGGTTGACTAGTGCGATGAAGTGAATGCAAATTTCATCGTGGGTTATTACTCCGGGTGGAAGATGGGTTTGCGAAGCGAAACCAATATAAGTGTTCTTTGCATTGAACGTATGGGTGTCTCAATCTTCGTTAAACATATCTATTGCCTAAAGTGTGGTTCGATTACCGCCAAGACGTTTACCCGAAGTTGCTCTATCTTGAGTCATGTGTATTTTCGCACAATGTGTCCAAGCAATTTAAGGCCCGCAAATATCGCGCTTATAAATCAACAATTATAATTGTTGTGCTTATCGGAGCATCGCTAGCGTAAACCTTACTTTATTATGACGACTATTGGCTGCCAGTCAAATCCTTGCAGATATATTAACCTTTCCACACGTGACCCTCCTCTTTTTCTTTGGCTTTATCAAGTAGAATACGAACCGCATCGGGGTATACCGTACATCTAGTCAAACTAAGAATCAACGTCAGAGATATCTAGTTTAGTACGATGTTGAAGTATCTTGACAAATACTACTCAGGGTCGGAGGAAAGGTACTCCGAAATGATGATGTTTGCGGGAATCGTAGCAAGCCTTATGCTTTGCGTTACGTAAGGATTTAGTAACGAAACTCAAGGATTACAGATTTATTAAATTCTAGTTTCAACAAGACTTTCTTCTGCATATATGTGATCCTTGGGATTTGAGAGTAAGACAGTATTGGGTACGTACTTTCTTGAGGTGTACGTACATATTAGGTTTTTCTGTACAATTGCGAAAATAGCATAGTTTGTTTTGCCAATGACGATTGATATTCGAGCAGTGAATGTCCATTGATCACGCGGACGGTTAGTCTCACATCATGCGATGCAGATTGTTAATTTTCTAACACACTGGAAATTTGATATGTTAAGTGCTAGCATAGGTTATATAATATCAATATCAAATGAGAATAAGATATTAAAGTACAGTCATTTACGAGCTCCTCGAGTCTGAGGATGAAAAGACCAAGTCTGGCCTCTGTGCATTAACCATCCAGACTCTTAGAGTTAAAGCATTCTCAACAGCAACCTCGGCGAAATCGGCAGCGGTCAAAGCTTAGATCTCCTGCGATAATGAAAATCGAGGGTGTTCATTTTCTATCATCAGAGTGACCTGACACGTTTAATATGCCTTTGTTTTTAGTTGATATCGAGGCGACATCACGTTTGGACGAAAGGGTATTGTAGAATCTGAAAGCGTTTTCCAGATATAAGATTTTGTTCGTAAGTCACATCCTGAAACGCATTTACCTATCTTCGGTGAACAACATTCGGCTTCCGCCGTGAGGCCGCTGATATTGAGCATCCAATCTTTCGAGAATTGGGCAGAGAAATTCCTCTGGATGAAAAAGAGTTAGGATGACCGTAAGCTTGACCTTGCCCTAGATAGAGCAACAGCGTGTCAGTCTAGTGATATCTAAGCCTGTATCGCATCGAAAAATGAGCACGAACGTGCAGCTCCTTGAAAAAACATTCCCGACATGAGATGCGTTAAGCGGCATACGTCGCAGATGTCGGCATAAATAGACTAGGAGCAAAATTAACGTCCATTAATGTGAACCACCTGTCAAGTGGATGCAAAAAGTAGCAGAATATGATTGCAGTTGCGTACTCTGGTCAAAGCATTGATGTCAGTCCTCTCCAGGAGCTGCAACTGCTAATAAGTGTGTTGTGAGTTCCTGAGGGTACGGAATCTACTTCAGCTTCGATGTATCAGGGCTCCCGTACATTTTGCGCAACGGGAGCTTTGACTCTCATATTCCTTATATAACGAACACGGCGATGCCTAAATCGTCACATCGTACCAGAAGCAGATCCGAAAGTCTATACAGTAACCAAACTGATAGTTTACTCTGCTATTACACGAGTTCATATA